TTTTTTTTTTTTTTTTTTTTAAGTTGACAGGTTGTCAATTTATTATAATTATGCACAATTATATTGTGTTAAAACAAGTGTACTTAAAGATGGTTTGATTAAAAGTGTCTTCTTAACTTCCAAAGTCCCTTTGAAGTTGGCATAAACCTCATCTACTTTTTGTCAAGAGTATGTATTAATATGTGAAATTACAAATAAAATCTGGCAACCCAATTATGCATAAAAAAAAAAAAGTTATTTAGCCTAAATCACAGTGAAAAACTGCATATTCCTGACAGGACCAACTATTCAAAGGCAACCAAACATGTGATTGGCTCTTTTAACTAAAACTATACTATAAAGCAGGTCTTCTGTTCCTCCACATTTGCTATTGCGATTTCTTCCATTTGTTTTTCTATGAGTAGTTGGTCGCTGTAACCTTATATTTGTCTTATAGAGCTATACATACCAAATCATTTCAGGCTTTTGTTGATCTTAATGACAGTGCATACTATAAGCTCTTAACGGCATGAACTCACACTCTGTGTGTGTGTGTGTGTGTGTGTGTGTGTTTCCTGGGGCCAACCTGGAGTTCTTTATTAGTTGACAGGAAATTGGGACAGAGTTCTCTAATTTTCCACAAGTGTTTCTAGTAAACAACCAACAACTAGCCTTTACTCTGTGTATCATTAAAATGTGTCTGGCATTTATAGCTTCCTACAGCTACAGCAGACAGAAAGACCAGCACGCCTCTCAGCATGGCAGTCTGCCTCGGTGTGTGCGTTTGTCACGCTATTTATTGACGGTAAAGTCCATCATGATTGCTGCCCATTGCCCAACCACATGCATTCAGAGATTTAAGACTAATACTCCTGGCTTATTCACTGCATCTGAACTGGAGTCAAATAACATAACACACGTTTCTCATCTGCCACGTTGTCCTACATGATGGCAACAAAACAACAAACAAGTTTTTTTAGAGTTTGACTGCCGAGGTTGAATTCCTCTCAATCTCTGAGTTAGTTTTCTAATGCAAAATGAATGATTCCATGAAAGCTGTTTTGCCGGTAAATGTTACGGGTATTTTGCGAGCTCTGAGAGTTTCCGTTTACCATAAAGCTGTAGTGGTTTCATCGAAACATGCTAAACATCACTCAGAACATGTTATAAACCACATAGCAATGCCTTAGTGCAGAACACCCTAGCAACTGCAACATGTTAGCCACTGCATAAGTAGCAACACCCTGACAACTATCCATGACATCTTAGCAAATGCATAGCAACATGCTAAAACCCCAAAGAATACAATAACGCTGCAAAGCAACAACCTGACAGTCACCTAGAACACTGTAGCAACTGCATTGCCAAAAGCCACTCAGAACATTTTAGTCACCTTAGCAACTTCGCAGCAACATGCTAAAAACTTATTAGAATATGTTAGCAATGCAGAGCAATGTCCTGACAACCACCTTAGCAAATACATGGCAACACGGTAAAAAAAAAAAAACTCACAAAACATGTTACTCCGGCAATATGCTAAAAACTACTCAAAACTTTTTAGCTACAACATAGCAAGACCCTGGCAACCACCCACAGCAGCCTAACAACAGCCACTACATAGCAACATCCTGGCAACAACGCCAAAAACTGTAGCAACTCAATTCAATTCAAGTTTATTTTGTATAGCGCTTTTCACGATACAAATCGTTGCAAAGCAACTTTACAGAAAATTAAGTTTCTACAATATTTAGTGGTAGCTTATCAGTGGTGACTGTCAGTTAATGTACATATGGCAGAAATGCACGGAAAATCAACTAAAGACGTAATCAAACAGACGATGAACACTATTAAAAGCAATTATTATATGATGCAATCAAATCGTGCGAAAAAGCTCTACCTCCTTTAGTGGACTTTGCTATCCTAGGTACCAGTGTTGGGGAAAGTTACTGTTAAAAGTAATGCATTACAATATTGCATTACTCCATAAAAAAGTAACTAAGTACGTTACTTTTTATGGAAAGTAATGCGTTACGTTACTTAAATAAGTTATAGTTATATTTTTGGCAAATATATAAGCCTTTTCACACCAAAATTGAAATGAATAAGCCTCAGGCTGAAGGAAATATAAATTTATGTCCGTACAGTAGAATGCAGAAGAAGAAATTTCAACACACTTCAGCAATAAAAAAAAGACACACAAATGTTTGTCTAGAGTAATTGTTGCTTATTAGTACGGTTGAACTGGATCATCGAAGGTCAGACGCAAATACATTGGTTAATAGAATGGGATTAAATACATAAAGGATATTTGTGTCTAACATTTGTGTCAGGATCTAACAGGCATATTGTTGGTTTAGATGCAGTGATAAGTTTATTGAGCTCTTCCTGTCCTATAGTTGTAAAGCATTGCAGTTTATCTTTGAGTGTGATGAATGAAGTTGAAGTATTAGACGCTGTAGAATCTACATTTGTTATTGTATTTCTGATGGTATCTATTTTATCAGCAAAGAAATTCATAAAGTCATTACTATTAAACTGTGAGGGAATATTTAGATCGGGTGGCGTCTGGTTATTTGTTAATCTAGCCACTGTGCTAAATAGAAACCTTGGATTGTTTTGGTTATTTTCTATAAGTTTGTGGATATGTTCGGCAACTGCATGGTAACATGCTAAAAACCACTCATAACATGCTACCCACTGTATAGCAACAACTTGACAATGACCGAGAACACCTGTCAGCTGCCACATAGCAACACCTTGACAGCGGGAAAACATTGCAGCATATTTTCTTCCAAAAAATATTATGTCTGAAATAATTTGTTGTGTCTTTCTCTCTCAGGGTCGCTGTATGAACTTCACTCGCATCAAGTCTAGTCCTCCTCCACGCTATCCATCCTACAACCACCATTCTTCACCTATCTACACCCCTCCATGCACCCTCAGCCCGCCCCCTCCTCAGGGCCAGCTGCCCCCTCCTCCACACAGTCCACCTGCCTCTCTGTCCTCCGGCTTTCCCCCGGCACCTTCTACGCCCCCACCTCATGCCATCAACCCTTCTCCACCCATTACTCCTCCTCCATCCTATTCTCCGCCCCCCATCTGGTCTTCGTCTCCTAACACTCTCTACTTTTCTCCGCCCACATCTCTTCCACCATCCCCTCCTGCCTCGCTGCCCCCACCCCCTCAAGCCCCGCCTCCAGAAAGAGCTCCTCCTCCAGATCGCCCACCTCCTCGGCCTTGTGTGTAATGCGGCACATCTGAGTGGACTACTGAGGACTGGAAGTAAACAGGAAATATAAATGTTCCATATCCTCCTCAAAATTCCGTTGCTGTGTGGCCTAACGCAATAAAACTCGATACAAAGACTCACCTGTGGCATCAAGGGCATTTGCTCCTCTGATAGAACAATGAAATGGAACACAAGCCACCATGAAACTCTGCAGAGAGCAACACTCAGAATCACACACACCAGGCATCGCAAAGAAATGGAAAATTCACCTACAGAGCTTCTCAGCAGGCGCCATTTGTGAGTTTAACCAAGCTTTGAGAATGGAAGTGGCTGGTTCCATTAATGGATTCATGGATGTTTCACAATTGTATGCACATGGGACCATCTCATGAAGGAGATTTCCATAAAAGAGGAAAGAGGAGTAACTTTTTGGGAGCTTTCTCATTCAAAGCGATTGAGAAAATATATGCACGTTTTTGACAAGCGTCACCATATACAGGTCATCTTTATTAAGTGGCAAAAACTAAACATTGGGTCTCATTTACTAAACATTGCATGGGTTTATACACACTTATACAGACAGAAAAAAAATGTAACCATGCACATGAATTGGTTTTTAACTTTCTAATGTGGAAAGACCGCATACCCTTGGTTACTAATTTGCATAAACACACCAATCTCTATATAAGGGTTTGATGTAGAATAGAGCACAACAGTTGGGTTCTGGAAGAAAAACAGCATTCATTACCAATGTTTCCATCCACCTACTTTTATGTGCATTATCGGCAAAAAACAAACAAACAAAACAAAATTCTGAATGGAAATGCCAAGATATGCCTAAATTCTAAAATGCACATAAAAAACCTATGAGCTCAACTAAATCGGATAAATTTTTTTTCTAATAAGAAAACATGCACATAAATTATGATGGAAACACATTTACAAAATTAATTCTGTAATGCACATCAAAAATGACATGCAATGACAACTGGATTGAAACTCACTTTATTCGCGAATGTTTTAGGTGATATTCCAATTTTGCACATAAGTTAAATTCACAACTTTGTATGGAAACTTGTGCTGTCGAACAATTAATCGCGATTAATCACATCCAAAATTAAAGTTTTTGTTTACATAATATATGTGTGTGTACTATGTACATTTATTATGAATATGTACATAGTACACACACACATATATTATGTAAACAAAAACTTCACACACATTCAGTATATATTTCGAAAAATGTATATATTTATATTCATAAATTATATTATATGTAAATATAAACATAACATATTTTTCTTAAATATATACATTCATGTGTGTGTATTTATATATACATAATAAACATACACAGTACACACACATATATTATGTAAATAAAAACGTTTATTTTGGATCCCTATGGAAAAAGAATGAATGGGAAAAATACTTTGGGACCCAGAGCTGCTGAATGGGCACAAATGCACTCTATGGAAGTAGACATGTGATTTTAGTTGGTTCAACATTTTATTGTAAATTTATTTATAAATTTATTGTAAAGAATATGCTGAGGATATCACGATTTCTGCATGAAAATGTCTGTTCCTGCAGTAAGTAAATGAGACTCAGTTGTGTTTGATGAAAAGGTTTTCTTTCAAAAACGAAATGTATTTGCAAAATTCAACCATTTCATGTTTTTGATAAAATGGCTTGCCATACGAAGGCTGTTGCTTGTTCAGGTAATTGACATTTATTTGTGCAACAGTGATTTCAGTGGCTTTGATAAGGATGGGGAGCATGTTGCTTTTTGGTCTTTGAATTTATTTACAAAGTACCAGACCACAATGAATTAAAGGAATAGTTCATCCAAAAATAGAAATTCTGTTATCATTCAATGATGATGAACTTTTCACTCAATATGTGTCTTTTTTGGCTGACCCGTTTCTTTAGGATGACGTACAGTATGTTGAAGAGACTAAGGTGTTTATGGGCACGGACTTGAAACATCAGAGAAAAATCTGAAATGTATGTAAACTAAGCAACGTCACCTTACTTTGCACATGTCACAGTTGTAAAGGTAATTGGGTGCATTATTAAAAAATGTAGTACAAATGATCATACATTACACATGCTGTATGTATAAATCTATGTATCCCAGTGTAGATTTTTTTATATAAGGTTTTCTTTTTTTGTTTGTGTGTTTTTTATATTATTGAGGCATGACTGAGATTTTGAATAATGCAGAAGCAAAAGAAGATCTCCCTGCAGGAGTTCTTACAGCCTCTGCTTTTTATCCACCATGAATAACCACAGCAGAAGATTACAAATAGCTTTTCACATTGGAACGGAGTTTTGCCAAAGCCTGAATCCAACACATTTGATAGATGAGTTTGTGTTTGTTCATAATTACATGTTGTATATAATATTGGCATAATAGACCACAGTGTCAATTTCCACAATCCTTTGCTTCTAAAGAGCCCTTGTCATTTTCTGTCGAGTCTAAGTTATTGCAGTGCCACTATGATGCCAATGTTGTGTTTATATGACTCCCAAACCCTGTTTTGATGAAGGTTTTATGGGTAATTAACATCAGAGAAATCATATATGTCCATATTAAATCTTATATGCTTTTCAAAGGAATCATGTAAATGAATCATTCTCTAAATGACTCGGATCATGACTACATTGTTTGTTTTTTAACTGTTCTTTTGTTTTGAAATAAAATGTTGTCATAAAAGTCATATTGGTTTTCCTGTTTGCATGCGTTTAATGGGTGTTGAGAATCTTTGCCCTAAAGTCTTTTTGTTCAACCCTGTTATACTGTGACATTGCCCCCTTTAAAAATAATGGTTTGTCGAAAATTGTGACCAGATGGTTCGAAAAGAATAACATTCTCCTACAGTCTTTATTATATAATGTCGATTACACTTTATTTTAAGGTGTCCTTGTTACAGTGTAGTTACACATTTAATATTAATACATATTAACATAAATACTGAGTAATATTAATTAACTACGTGTACTTACTATATGGTTAGGATTACTTGCATGTAATTATGCATAATTTATTATAATAGTAAGTATGTGTGACATGTGTAACAAGGACACTTTAAAATTAAGTGTTACCAAATTGGCACGAGTTCAACTCTGTTACAGGTGGGAAAATCTCATTTACAAACAAATTTCATTCTTGGCATGAATCACAAGAAACTGACCGTAAATAATGTGTCATGGGATGATATTTTAAAGGACATTTACAGTGCTGATAGTCACGGATTACATGTAATCTGGATTACGAAATCATATTCCAAAAATTGAGTACTAAATACTTTTGCATATTCACAGTTCTCTGGTGTCGGTTAATGGTCACATTGACGTGCAGGTAAACAAATTATTTCTATTTTTAATGTTCATTTTATTTTGATTTTTGTTTTAAAATCATTCGTTTCTATCTTACATTTTTATGACTGAATTCTTGTCAAACCCCAGTTAGGAAAACCCTGATGAAATATAATGGTTAATGCGCTTCATGATGTTGATATCAAATAAAATGGTTTATATCAATAAAGTACATTTAATGTTACGTTTAAACCAAGTTAGGTAAAAAGTCATTTAAAAGTAATCTGAATACGTTCCCTAAAACAAGTAACTTGGATTACGTTATTAAATACAACTTTCATGATGTAATCTGTAATGGACTACAATTTGTAAGTAATCTACCCAGCCCTGGACATTTATTAGACACTCTTGTGCTGATTTTCAACCTCGTAACATTCATTTTTACTGTATAATCACAGGGTTGGCAACATTTTGACCAGTTTTGAAAAAAAGAAATGTCATAGGTTACTTGGATTTCTGCACAATTTGGTTATACCAACTTCTTCAGATCTTAAATCTGCTAAAAGAAATAACAAAAATGTTACAATTGATTTCTTCCTTGGCCTGTGTTGTTTTTATCAGCTCAGCCATCTCTGCTTAACTAATCCCCTTTAGACCAGGTGCAGCCGCTCTGTCAACATGCGTACAGAAAGCTGCCGTCTCATGAGACTGAGACTATAAACCACTCTCACCATCATAGATGTCCTCAATTTCAAAAGAAGTTTTCAAAAGGCAGTTTTATCCAGTGTCACAAGCACAAGCTCAGCAAGGTCTGGCATGAAATGTTTCAAGCGCAGCCAAAGATAAGCAAATTAAACTCTGCTGGAAAAATAAACTGGGATTAGGATGCATTTTCTCCAGCAGAGCGGAGGAACCCACACCGTAAAAAAAAAAATTCCGTAAAATTTACGGTAAAAAAACGGCAGCTGTGGTTGCCGGAATTTTGCCGTAAAAAATATGGTTGCTACGTTTTAGGTTTTAACTTAAATTTACAGTTAAATACCGTAATTTCATTAACTGATATAAATGTTAATATACCAACCTATTGAAGTACTGAAATCTGTTTTGTAGCTTTGTAATACACTGATAACCACCAAATGCAGGAGGTGATGAGAAAGTCACATGATGAACCAAAGCCCATCACAAGCAGCTTTTAAATAATAACATATATAGAAGCTGCACAGTGTCATTCACACAAACACTAAACACCATCAGGGTAACACACATGAAACTGAAATAATGCAATAAACATTCATTTAACAACATTAGGTGTAACACACAACCCTAATATACAAAACTGATAAGAAAAAACTAAGAAGAAACATTTCAACAAAAAAACATCAAATTTGAAATGTAATGCAGGGAATTCTGGGAATGTCAATTTACGGTTATTCACTGTAAATTATACGGTCTTTTTTTACTTCCAAAAACGGTATACTACCGTAAAATTTATGTCCAATACATGTAATGTCCAATACATGTAATGTCCAATACAGTTTTTCACCGTATATAGTAGGGGAATTTACCGTTAACCATTTAACAGGTTTTTACTGTAGCATTTTTATAGTCTTTTACCGTTAAATTCCCGGTCCTTTTTTACAGTGCATGAGACCTGTGTGACCCGTTTTGTGTTCGGATCGATTACGAAAATCGACTGATGATTTGTATAGTTGGTGATCGTTCAACTCAGTCTCTCTCGGCCTTTGACCCTGATATTCATGTTTTATCTCTTCTCTTCACTCTTATCCTATCATTCCTTCTCCTCTTTACCTCTTTGATTTTCCCTACAGTTATTAATGTCAAATACATTGTCTAACCACACACGCACACATCTGTGAGCAGTGCTGGGTAGTAACTGATTACATGTCATCTGGATTACATAATCAGATTCCAAAAATATAAGTACTTGTAATTCGATTACTACAGTTAATGACAAACACAAATGAATGCTTTGGCTTGTTTTGGAACCTTTGGCATAGAGAGAGAAAAGAACTATACAAACTATCTGACCAAATATGGTCTGAAATGCAAGTTATTAACATCTTGATTGTAAAAACTAAATATCACAGTCGGCAGTCTTGTGATAATACACAAGTTTAATGTGGTTACCACAGAAACATTGTTGAACACAATTTCGGAAACATTTTGATAGGCCAAAATTGGTCTCACAGAAAAGGTTTTCCATTATTATAGTCTCCCTGCTGATTTTAATGAATTATTACTTAAAGGGCAACCCCCTGACCCACTTCCTGCTCTGGCCAATAAAGCAATCCAGTCATCAACAACCTCCAATCCATCCACACTGCCAAGAGTCAGAGCTTAAATGTTTTCCTGCTCTTGAAGAACAACACCGCTCAGACCATCAAAACTCTGGGTACTATTTGGCATCAAAGGAGCGGAAAATAGTGCGAGTCTATGGCTTCAGTGGCGTGGGAGATCTCCATGTTTGTGTAAATGTCATTGCAATGCACAAAAGCTTCTTTCTAGTGGAAAATGGTTCTTTAAGACACTGGTCCACCGGTGGGCCCACTTGCGATTACATGGTTATAACAGTAAGATCTTAGTCTAAACCTAAAGTAATATTGACAAGCTGTTTTCACGACTGCTTTTTGATATATTTTACAGAGAAACCATAATTTATTAGTGTGTAACAAGTAGGCCTACTCATAAGTACAGAAATCATTCCATTTAGATGAAATTTAGCATAGCATTAACTCAGATAACCCCATGATTTTGAAAT